TACATATATCAATTTCATAATAAAATTATATAATTTTTGATATTTCATCAAATTAAAATTTCATTTGTTTTTAATTTTCAATAAAAAAATTATAAATTTAATTGATTTTTTTCCTATGAAATCCACATCCCATTAGCTTCATAATCTTTGACTTTTAAAAGTTTTGTAATTAAATAGATCAACGATTCAATGATCTATGTGTTTCATCAAAAAATGTAAAAGCTACAATTTGAATCTTAAATATTTATTTATCATCTATTTTTATCAAATTATGAAATTTATTCATACAATATAGAAAATTTCTAATTACATCTAAATTCATGTCATAATAATAATAAGGGGTTTCAAATAAATATTTGCAAAAAACCGACATATTTGTGATTCATAAATGAAATGTAATTGTCATAAATAATTCAATTACTCTTAAATCAATTTGGAGTAACTATATTTGATTAACCAAATAAAAGTAAAATACTGAAATTATGTTTGATCTTCATTTGGATGAAAATGTAAGTTTTGATCTTTTATGTTCACAATATTATGCTTAAATGTTGTATATATATTTCAATTTACATCATTTAATTTATAATAAAAAATAATTTTTCCATAAATGATATTCTTAAACTATGTACAATTTTGTTCCTTATAATGTTATTTCATTTTTTTAAAATAAAATGATTCATAAAACTAATTCATGTTAAACCTTCATATTGAATGTTCACATGTATAATTAATTTTGTCACGGATGTATTCAGAATATTGTATATCTTCATTATTTTGTATACAATGATATTATTATGATAGATTTCATTCCAAAAAATAATAATGTTCATAAATCTAAATATACTACATAAATATTTTGTGTGATCAGATTTATTTAACACTTCAGATTTATTGCACGTATGTGATATTTATTTGTTAATGAGTTTACCGTATAATTTCCATATATATATATATGTATTTTTAAGTATATCATGAAAATTTCAGAATGAAAACAAATTCCATATAATCCTTTTTTAATCAATTGTAAATGAAAAAATGGTAATTTATAAAAAAATACGTTTAGTTCTACAAAATTATATTCAATATACATATATATTATTCATTTAATGTCATTGATAGTTTATTTCTTTTGGTTCAAGCTAAAACACAACTTATCATCTCAATCTACAAACTATTAAGTTTTTCATTTTAGACAGTTTCAATTATTGTTAACTAATTCAAGTATGTTTTAAGAATATTTCTTATACGATTTCAAAGATTGAAATTATATCAAATTTGAATTGTTAGTATGATATATAAATAGATCATTTCTTTAACATTATGCATTTCATTTCATTTGTAAAAACAATCACATAATTATGTTGCATGACATCATTGTTACATATCAAATTTTTTTTAAATAAAATTTAATAAAAAAAATTTTTCATATATGCATGAAATGATATCATCAATATTGAGTTTTTTAATATATTAAATCAAAAATTAAGATTCAATTAAAAGCAACATGTGATGATTTTTTTATGACTTTTTTAGTTGCTTTCATTATGCACGAAATATGATTCCATCGTAAATACTCGCTATGAACATAAAATAACATATATACTACTTATCTGGATTGAATAAATGTTTTGTAAAGTAAATAAAAAAATTTATATAAAATATATTTTACAAAAAAAATTTATTGATAAATTTGAAAAGTTTTAGAATTTAATATACAAAATTTGATATTCTGTACAAATTATATGCTATATATTAACTTGATGCGAAAGATGTATCAAACATCTTTTGCATCAAGTTTATATAAAATAAATTGTGTTTATAGTATAAATCATTTAATTTTGGTTAAGTGGATTTTTATTATATCTTCAATTCTTCTAAAAAAATAATTTAAATTTTGAAATTTTTTTGATTGATATTGTTATTAGCACTTGCTTTCAATTTGAGATAATCTTCATTTATATATATAGGACAAAATTTTACAATAAAATCATATCAATTAGACACAGATGTACTTATGCTTAAATAAGCTAAAAAAATATGGATTTAGTTATTAAAATAAATGCAAATTTTCATCAATATGCATAAAAAAATTCTTGCAAGCTAAAGGAATAAAATTATAATAAAAATGGTATTAAACATAACACAAAACCTACACAATTTATTTACACAATGATAGAATGTAGAAGTGAAAAATGCATTAATTTGTTTGTAGATATCATTAAAAGCACAAACTATAATGTAAAATTTAATAAAACAAATAATTGAATAATTTGATGATATATTACATACTTTTTATACGTAGATCGTATCATATAAAAGATAACTTCATTTCGAAGAGATAAGCAACTGATAATATGCATGTTGTTTTATTTCTTATAATAAATCTATTGATTTTTTTGCGAATGACAACAATGATATATAGAGTGTAAATGCATTCTTGTTATAATCAAAATTATTATAAGCAATTATATAAATAAAATTAATTTTAACTTTATTAATATAAAGATGTAATTGAGGTTTAATATGTAATCATAATGTGTGATATAACCAAAATGAAATAATTTACAGCATTGCACGAACTTGGCAAAATGATTATTTCATATATAATGAAGTTGATCAACTTTACATAAGGTCTCTTGTAAAAAAAACAAAAATTTCCCAATCAATTGCTACATATTACAATTTAATAAAAGACTGAATCTTACATCATGAGTTATGATTACAAATATTTCGTTTTCTTATATATAATTATGACATACAAAATATACAATGCACATAAACGTACGATATGTTGCCAAGAATCTGGTCAAATATTTAAACGTTATTTATGATATGAAGTAACAAATTATGAACATATCTACTTCTGATATCGCTTGACTAACTAAAAACATGATACTTATTATCTTGAAAGTTGTTGCACAATGGTTTGTTAAATGTTAGAAAAGTGTTTATTTTTGAATGGTATACTGAATTTTTTGTAATGTATACAATTTGGATAAATAGAAGTAACTGAGTGAATCTCCAATCCACTAGCATTAGCTAAATATTACATAAAAGAATGTGCTTTTGGTACATGTTTATGAAATTCGATGATGGAATCAACTTGAATAAGCATAAACTAACTTTGATTTGGCAATATGATGACAAGGTTTAAAAGATTAAATCTGCTCATATTTTTAAATTTAATTTGAAAATATTATATGACTGACAAAAAATTGATTCATGTGAGTGGCTTTTTTCTTAGAAGATAAATTGTCTAAAATACGTTGTTATTTATTTATATGATCAGTATTATATGTTTCCATGATTTCTTAAATTTAATATCATATAGATAAAATTGAATGCAAAAGTATTAAAATAATTTAAATTTAATTGTGTGCACACATTTTGGTGTCAAACTATATGATTAAACGCTAATAATTTTATTTTATTAATGAAACACTATAGCTGAATTTTCAAAATTATGTATATCTGATATCTAATATTTGATGCATCAGTATTTTAATTCCCAAAAAAAGAAAAAATGTATGATTTTATAAATGTTGATAAAATCATTATTATAATAAATATACGTGTTAATTATTATGTTTATTATTTTGCATATGAGTACTTTAAAATTTGACTCTATAGTGTTACGAACCCAGGTCAAGTAAAGAATTGTTCAAATAAAAATAAGTATAAAGTTTTAAATGTCAGTATTGATATTTGAAACATTACAAGCTATTTTGCTACTTCGGAAAGTTTTAAATTTTGAATACATTTTTTGATCACACTCAAAATACATGTAAAAACGTTGATATTTAGACCTGTAAGTTCCAATAAATTCAAAAAATGAAATGATTACACGTTTATTTATCAAAAATTAATTACAAAAATCACAAATAAATTTAAAAATTCAATATTTGAGATCGTGTGATATCTTGAAGTATATGTTTTATCACCGAGCATTTTGTAATTTGATATTGTAAGTAACATGTGATTCAATTGAAATTATCTTCAACGTGAAATGATTTTGAAGACTTTATATACATAGTGAAAATAACAAGACTGCATAGATTAGTACGGATTGAGTTTACTAGCTTTAATTTACGGATTTAATATTAATTTAAATGTTTACATATTATATTGTACAATTAACTATTGAATGAGCGACGTTTTAAGAGTTATGACAAAGTTAATACACAAAGGTCTGTATTGTGATAAATTCAGTGATTGAAAATTTGTTAGAACGTAAGAGAAGATCTAGATAACCTGATATTCTCTTCATAGGAATACGAAATATTAAATACTTTATATGAAATTTGAAAGAGTGAATGTTCAGAGTTGTAAGATGTGTATAATGAAATTTGAATAATATGAAACAACCGCTGAAGTCAACTTGAAACCCACTGGTTCAAGATGAGTACTTAGGCGGGAGCGACTGTAAATTAGAGTTGAAATTGAAATTTTGGCACGAAATTTTTTGAATACAATAACGGAGGTTTCTTTAGAATTCATATTCACTCGGATCAAAGCAGCTCCGAATGGAGTGCGTGCAAGCATGAGGCCCGTTTTGATGTTGGAGAGTCTAGAAAGGAAGGGAACATTACATCATAAAGGCGAGAAGGGTCCGGCGACCTGGTCGGTCGCAGTGCGGTCCGCGGTCGGTCCGCGGGACTTGGTTTAGGTTACTAGCGCGTTTAAAATGCAGGAAGGCAAGGAAGGCGAGGCGAGGCTTGGCTTGGCTTGGCCCGGGGCCAGGCCAAGGCAGCGGGGCGGGCGGGCGGGCAGGCTGGCTGGCCGGGGCGGGTTAAGGACAGTGATGGGCAAAGCAAGGCAAAGCAGGGCAGGGCAGGGCAGGGCAGTACAGGGCAGAGGGCAGGGAGGGAGGGGCGGAGCAGAGCCGAGGGGTGGGCCGGGAGCTCGGGGCCGGGCCGGGCGGGGCTGGGCTTGGCTTGGCTTGGCTGCTTTCTCCGAATAGACAAAGGAGCCGAAGAGGAGGAGGAGAAGAAGGAGGAGGAAGAGGAGACCAAGAGCTTCGCTTCGAGCAGAGGAGAGGAAAGGAAAGGAGAGGAGAGGGTCCCGGGACGGAGGTGGTGGTCGAGTGAGTGGAGAGTGGGAGGAGGAGGAGGGAGGCGAGAGAGAGAGAGAGAGAGAGAGAGAGAGATTTGGTGCTCTCGGTCGCGGGGTGGCTGGATTCGACGAGTCGATTCAAGTTTATTGTGGGCACGGATCTCAATCGGAATTGGAACGGTGAGCGCAAGCGATGTCGGATGAGCGCGCAGGGAGGTAGGCAGGCAGGCAGGCCCCCGCGCGAGCGCAGGAGAGGTAGGCCTGAGCGCGAGCGAGGGTAGAGAAATTGCGTGGTTTGAAACGAATAAATACGGACCCGGGAGGGGGAGTGGGCATGCGTCGGCGTCGCTCGTGCTGTAAATCCAGATCAGTGAGTGAATTTGGTGTCGATGCGGGCGCGAGGCCATCGCTTTCTCTTGACCTGCTAGCAGGCGAGGCCCAAATTAGCGTTGGAACGGGCCAGTGAGTGCTCGGGTCGCCAAGGTCCTCCGGGAAAACTGATTACAGTGGCCTTATGGTCCTCAGTTGGCGCATCGCGGCCTAGGTGTTGGCGATGACTTGTCCTCTTGTGCCCACTGTGCCCCTCTCCCCTGCCCTCCCTCGCTCTGTCTGTGTTCATCGCCCGCCTCGTTGATTGAGATGCAGAGCCTTGGGAGGCCATGCGGTAGGAATGGGTTTTGGTGAAAGATTGATGAGTTTGAGGATTCCCCGCGGCCCCGACGCAATCCGATACTGACGGAGTTTGCTGCTTCCTTGTATCTGTGTCCAGGTTCGCACGCTCGGCCCTGATAGCCTAGAGTGGAAATTGTGATGGAGGAATGCTCCCAATCCTCTATTTGAATTTCTGCGGGCAGGTGTACAGACTCTTCGGGTAAACCATGCCGGAGTACGAGGATGATGGCAGTGAGGGTGACAGTGGGGAGGAGGATAGCATGGCCAACTTCATGGGTGCCGAAGAGAGGGGAGGACACAGTCCTGCCGGGAATGAGGAGGCCGACGACAGTACCGAGAACGGAATCGTGCACGAGAATGACGAAGTGCAGTACCAAAGTGCCAGTGAGCCAGAAAACTGCGAGAGCGGTAGCGAACGGGACGAAAGCGACGGCAGCGCCATCGGCGAAGAAGAGACTGCCGAGTGCGCGGCAGGGAAAAAGTTCATGGATGAAGACGGATTCGACTATGAAGCTGAAGAGTCCGGTGCAGTTCCGGAGCGATCGTTTCAGGGAGGAAGGAGCTTGCGGACCATGGGTAATACGAAGGAGGTATTTCCGTGCGATTCGAGAGAAGTAGCAAAGGATTCGGACGATGAAGATGTCCAGGAAGTAGAAACAGGGGTGCCATTCAGCAAAGAAGCCAGCGACTCGGAGTCTGAAGAATACGTAGACTCTTCTGATAAAGAAGATTTGGAGCAAGCCGCTCGTGAGGATGGCGTGATTGAGGACGTTAGACCGAGTGATGACGCGGACGCAGACGGTGATGAAGGTAAAGACGATGAGATAGACGGAGAGGTCGAGGAGAAGGATTCCGATGAGGATTACGAAGTGCATGAGAATGGGGACGACGATGGATCAGAATTCAAAGTCGATGCCGCGGAAACCCCTTCAAGGGCAAGTATTGGGAAGCAGGGGACAAAACCCCGATATTCTGGTGTAAGAACCAATTTGGTTAATGGCGCTTATGCGCCAAGGCTTAGCAAAATTGTACATTATGAACGCCCTCGCGATGAGGATGAGGAGGAAGGAGGGGCAGAAGAGGAGGAGGAGGAGGAGGAAGAAGAGGAAGAAGAAGAAGATGATGACGATGATGAAGAAGAAGAAGGTAAGAGTCAGTACGAACGAGCAGACTCAATTGAATATCTAGGGCATCTAAAGAATGTTGAAAAGGTTGTAGCATGTGTCAAACTGAGAGTTCCTTTTTTCTTCCTTGACTGGATCTTCAGTCCTTCGAATCCCAGTCGTCAGGATCTTTTTCAAACGAAATAACTACGACAGTTATAATCATTTGAAGGATTTCAACGTGAAGCTCTCCAATTTATAGAGCAAAACTACCATAGACCTACAGAATCTACCCAGGTACTTCCGAATCCGAATAAAGGCCGGATGAATTGGGTCCGGAATTTTGAATTTTGGTAAAATGAAACACCTGTGGCTGAGGAATCAAGTGCGGCAGATTATCCCACATCGAACGAATATTTAACGAAAACCTGCTTGTCTTGCTAAGTAAACTACCAGTGGGATGAGCTGATGGTATCAACTGTTGGGTAATTTTAAAATTCTCGTCTGTGTCCCCCCAGCTGTAATTAAACCTACCCTCAGCAGTCACAATGTGACTGCTCTATACCGCCTCTTACTGAGGTAGATGAGTCCAGCCTGACCGGAATAGAATGGAGTTCAAGGTCTGAGTGAACAAAAGTCTTTGAGCTTTCTCGAATGTACCACACAAGCTTAGAAGGGTTTGGCCGGATCGAATTGAGTGCACCAACAAGAACAGGTTTCTTCTGAATGTAGAGATTGATATCTGTAGAAATTATAGTCTCTGTGGCGAATGAACGGTTTCTCAAAAGTGGTAAATGGGTTGTGGTTTTGCGAACTACAGCAGATGATCCTGATGACGTGGATTTCGCTCCTATAACTCGAAGCAGAAGCCGTGGCCAATCGAAGGTAAGCAGCTAGCGTCGAGTACTATGTGATTTCAGGGTTTTATGCTTACAGACACAAGGCTCACTAAGGTTTTTCAATCCGAATCGAAGAAATTCAGAGAGCGTTCGGCCGTTCAAATTGTGTGATGGGTTGTGAAGACAACGGCTCACGGGCCGAGGTGGTTTTGCTTAACTCAGGTTAGTCACGACTTGGACGAGAGCGAGGAAGAGCAAGATGAAGAATTCGAAGATGATGAGAGCTTAGGTCTGTCAGATGATAGTGATGATGGATACAAAAGAATCCCAACTCGGAGAAAGAGCAGAAGTACGAGAGGCCAACAGCAGTCTCGGCAGGTCAAGGATAAAATTACCCGGGGTAGACGGAGCACCAGGATTCAGCGCAACGTTTCTTACTCAGAAGCGAGCGAGTCTTCAGCCAAGGACACAGATGAAGATCCGGATGATGAAGAATATGGGCGTCGACAGAGGAAGCCTGGTGTGACCAGGGGTAGAAGTAGTCGACACGAAACTGCAACTTCTAGTTCTGCAGTAGCTCGGAAGATGAAGGAAAGGTCTGCCGACGCTGTGGAGACGCGTACGTCGAGAAGGGCAGTACCTCGGAAGTCTTACGCTGAAGCTGAGGAGAGCGAGGACGAAGAGAGTGAAAGAGCAAAGAAGCGTGCCAAGGTAGTCACAGCACGAACTTGTTCATAACCAATTTTTTTTTTAGGTTTCACACGCCGTTGGAGACGGTGAGTTCTCCACGGCAAACTGTTGGCGAGTTAGATATACAGAGAGAACTGCTTCATTAGCTCAGGGTTTATGTGCAACTCGTGGGGTTTTTCCTCGGTTTTGTTATTAAACACTGACAATCACATCCATCACGTTATTTAGACATTCTGCATTAGTAAGGTCGAAGCTTACACGTTCATTTTTAATAATATGCAGGTCATTGCGGAAGACGGAGAGGAAGATGATGGCGATGCCATCGAGAAGGTGCTTTGGCACCAGCCAAGAGGCATAGCCGAAGCTGAACTGGAAGAAGGCCGAAAAGCAGAACCCTTTGTTCTTGACACTGATCCTCAGGCCCTGCTAGACTGGGAAAAACAGGAATTTTACATCAAATGGAAAGGCCAGTCGTTTCTCCACTGCCAATGGCATCACCTTTCCGAACTCTCACAGGTTTGTGCCTAAATTTTGTTTTGGATCTCTCATCTTTAGATCATGTGAAGCTTCCAAGTAGTGTTTTCAGGACATTTTGTGTCGTTGTCGATCGAACACTGCAGTTCTCGTTTCCGTTTTGAGGACCAATTAAAGGGTTGAAGACCAGTCTTGTCTTCCAAGGAACATGTCCTCTCTCCTGAACGTTTTCCGATGAGTTGTTTGCGTGACATATTCTTTGTTTTAAAGATTTTTTACCATTCCTGCGAGTTCCTAATGCTTCTTTGTTCCCCTCGTCGTCTTTCAGCTTAGTGGATATAAAAAAGTTGTGAACTATATGAAGAAAATAGAGGATGATAGGAGTGTGAGGCGAACGATGTCCCCTGAAGAGGTACGTTGAGGAATTGGACATTAGTTTGATGAGTGCAAACCATATGTATACACGTGCATTGAAGTTACTTCCATCAAAATCATTAAGTGATTTTTAGATCACGAAAGAGGCTAGGTTTGAGTGTTGCTCATTTGTTGCTCCCGTGTCGTTCACTAAAGCACTGAATGTTACGTTGCAGGCCGAGTTACACGATGTCAGCAAAGAGATGGAACTTGATCTCTTGAAGCAGTATATACAGGTTCGAAAATATCCCTTCTTTTATAAAAAGCTTGAGTTATGGCTTAGACGGAAGTGGAATAGACTTCAGGCACTATTCTCCAATCGTTGTCATTAACGACAGTTTCTGTATGTTCATTGGCAGGTTGAGAGAGTGTTTGCTTCACGAACTTCCAAGAGCGAAACCGACGATGAACTCCAAGAATACCTGGTCAAGTGGAAGGGGCTTTCTTATGGAGAATCAACCTGGTATGTATAACTTTAAACAATTGACACATAACATCACCTATATGGCTTTGAGGAAATCGTCTCATCATGTGGAGTGGTGTTTCTCCTCTGCTCATTAGTCCTCTCCTCATTTCGTCCATCACCTCCTTCCGAGCATTCCGAGACTGGTTGTCGGTACTGGTGTCTTCAGGTTATGCACATCAACAACGCGTACTGCTGGTACTGTTGGCTAGATAGAAAGGGCGAATCTGGTGTTATGATAAGGACTCTTGTCATAGCGTCAGCTTTTTACTCGACTAGTCACTGGATTCTCGGAACGAAACGGTGAACAATGGATATTTGTGCCGAATTGCTTCTGATCGTCATTTGGAATCTTTTGATAATCATATCATCGAGATTGACCCCACTTGTACTAGATAGTCTAACGTCTCATACACTCTCTTCCCCCTCTTTCCTCAGTTACTAGCAGTGTCCAGTCAGGGCAGGGTGTCTATGTTTTCTAGGCCGTGATATGGTCGTAACAAGTCCAACATTATGGGGATTGCAAACTAGCAACGGAAGGAGGAAGATCATTATGTTTCTCGACGTCCATAGTACTAGCCCGAACATAGTTCTTGCTCATCTTTGTGTGCAGAAAGTAATTTTCGCTTGATACGTGGCTTCTCGTGTTTACTCCTTCTAGCGAAAAGAGACATACAGCTCTTCGACTTCTTTGTGTTGCTTACCACTTTGCCTGACTTTGTTTACGAAAACTTCAATGTTGGTTAGATTGTTCGCAGGCTTGTCTCTCGAGTTTGGATGAACAGTTCATTCTTTAACCCCCTGGTTGCTATTTTTCTGCTTCAATTAAATACAAAACTAGCTTGTCATTTCCCGAGTTCATGTCTAATTTTTTATCGTAAATTTTTGTCTTATCCGCTGGATGTTGCAGGGAGAAGGACACAGACATCGCATTTGCCATTCAAGCGATCGATGAGTATAAGGTAACGTTTTGTTTTGCTACTGCTTAAGTCAAGCATTGATAGTCTCTGTGTCAATGTCTTTGCTTTCCTTATTTTGGATGTGGCATGTAGGTACTTAGTCACACTTATTTGTTGCAAGCATGATAAACCCGTGTTGATTAGAGGCCATTGCCAATTGGGAAGATCATTGGTCAGTCCCTTCGAGCGCATGTTACGGTTGGTGTACTGGGTTGATGTACGGATGGTGCTGCGCATCCAAGATATTCACAATATTTTTTCCATTGCTTTTTTCTCCTTTTATGTTATTTGTGATCCGATGTAACCTCCATTCGTCCACCTTTTCTACCATGTCTCACGCCACTACTCTCATATCTATGAACTACAGGTACCATTCATTATGTTCTTCGTTAAATTCTATCACTTTTCTGCAGTGAGCTGGTTTTTGGGTTTTACTGAGTCGTTCCGATTTCTGATGTTTACACGAAAAAACCTGAAACATTAATGCCTCAATCTTGAGTGCTTTGGTCGTGACCTATGTAATCTGGATACCACGTCGGCGCATCCCGGTTGGATTATGTACATTAATCGACTGTTATACTGCTGCGCTTATTCGGATGTTTAATAATTATAAACTGTGAATTTTCGATTCTATGCTTCACAGGCTCGCGAAGCATTATCATCAGTACAAGGGAAGTTGGCGGATTCTCAACGGAGAAAGAATAAAAGTACGTCTTATGCTCCTAGTTTTCCGAGAATAGGTTCCTTGCAGTTTAGGTTGTGTACTTCGGCTTTTATATGTGGTTTTGTCTCCCATTAAACATGCGTTTGGGACTTCGTTGCAGCAACGCTTCGGAAATTGGAAACGCAGCCTGAGTGGTTGAAAGGAGGAACTCTACGTGATTACCAGCTTGAGGGCCTCAACTTTTTGATGATAAGGTAATTATGAGCTTAGAACTCCACCTTTCACCTCAAAATTTCCTGCTATAGTAAATTATTTGTCTCCATTTCGTAAATCAAGGTTATAAGTTCTCTTGTTTCAAAGTGCACTCTTGTTTCAAACATGTGAAGAATGCAAATGAGGTTTGGGTCACCAGGATTTGGCTGATATTTTATCTTGTGAGTTGCCAGCTGGAGGAATGACACTAATGTCATACTTGCCGATGAGATGGGTCTTGGCAAAACTGTACAGTCTGTGTCAATGCTTGGGTTTTTACAGGTGTGATACTCCCTCTGTTTCAGCTTTATGCAACTTGTCAACTTTTATTGTATCGCATTGTTGGAGAGATATTTGCAGGGTTAATATTTGGGTCTATATTGGGTGGCTTTTAGTCACATTCTTTCTTCAGCATCACGAAATCATGGCCTCAAATCATGGCCTCGCCGCTGCACCGGTGAGGCCATGCTTGGTAGGGCTTGATGATGCAGATTGCACTCAGCACCTCTTATTAGTAGCATCAAATTGAATTGTTAGCCCTAGTTAGCTCATGTGGTAGTTTTAGATAGGAAAGCTAAGATCTTCAATTCATGGCTATAAGTCATTTTTGTGCAGTATTCTCAACAAATTCACGGCCCGTTTTTAGTGGTTGTACCACTGTCGACAATTACGAATTGGGCGAAGGAGTTTCGCAAGTGGTTACCCGAAATGAACGTGGTTGTATATGTCGGCAACCGTGCTAGTCGCGAGGTGCGTCTTGAATACTTTTGTTACTCTGATCTTAACAGCAGAATTCTTGCTGGGATGATTGCTAGTGTTTCTAGGAGTGTCCTCTGTCACTCTATTCGCCTGATATTTAGCTTCAAAGGAGAAATATGAAACCATGTATGAGTTAGCCAGTAAGTTAGTTTACGAATGGATAGCTGTGCCTGGTTCAGTATAGGTACTGTTTCTTCCTCTACAGCTCATGTGAACCCGATTGATTCAGAACGTTTCAATATTGTGATTCACGTTTCCAAGTACTTATCTTTCCTGTCTTGTCCAAGACAGATGTGTCAGAAGTACGAGTTTCCTAGTGGACGGAAAAGCGGACGAACGATCAAGTTTGATACGCTCTTGACGACATACGAAGTTGTCCTCAAGGATAAGACTGTTCTTGAAAAGGTCAAATGGACCTACCTAATGGTAGATGAAGCTCATAGGCTGAAGAACAGCGAGGCAGCATTGTATCAAACTCTATCAGTAAGTCCATTTGATGCTGGACCTTCTATACTAGCGTTGGTTGAATAATTCCATATCATCTTTCTTGTCAAGAAAAGTCAGAGATCTGAGTTATCATATAACCCCCCTTGTTTTCTTGGTTCTAAATTTTGTTCAACAATTTCAGAAAACTATTTCCGTCATTCACCTCATGTTATTGACCCAAAACCCCGCCATACATCAATCATGTGTCCTTGACATGATTCTCATGTGTATCTGATGGGAATCATACTCCACCGGGTTTGATGTTATTCTTGGATTAGGACTGATCTGGAAAGTCACACTCATCACAAAGTGTCTTTATTCGCCTTTTACGCTTTTCGAAGTTTTGGAGATTGGGTGATACACGTCACATCAGTAGAGTTTTGACTCCTGTCTAGGTCCTGGAGTGATCTGTCTACCGTATGGTTAAGCAGTTGATCTTTGTTACTTGCGTAAGACATGCCGAAATGATAAATTGATGGATTTATCTCACGTGCTCAAACGCCGGGAACTTATGTCTGTTTATTTCTGCTCTATGCAGGAGTTTAATGCGAAGAACAAGTGTTTAGTGACAGGAACACCTCTGCAGAACAGTGTTGAGGAGCTTTGGTAGGTTAAAGCGATGATTGGTGTTTTTTCAGTATGACTTTCCATAGTTTATCTTTAAGTTTGTCTATTTGCAAACTAGGAGTTTTCTGTTGCCTGTGTTCATGTGTCGGATGTTATGAATACTGATAACTCGCACAAGTTCTATTGGGGGTCATCATGAGTGCAATTATTTTGTTTGATTCGGATGATGTTCTTTGTGCACGATGGATTCTTACCTAAGAGTCGCCTTATTCATCATCAGTTGAGGTCGTCTGAGAAGGTTTTTCTGGTAGTTTTGAGGAACAGTATGAACTAGCATTTGGAATCCAAAAACTTCAAAACAACTGACAGATCCAATTAACGGACTGTTGTTTCTTAGGGCTTTGCTTCATTTTCTCGATGCCGAAAAGTTTAGGAGCAAAGAGGACTTCACAGAGAAGTACAAGAATTTGAACTCATTTGATGACAAAGAGGTGAGAGCAGTGATTTCTTCATATTCTTTTCGAGGATTATAACGCCTCAGTTGATTTGTTTCTATATTTTCTTGTTGTCTTCACTGATTTGAACTTTTTGCTGGGTCCGCAGCTTGCGAATCTCCATGGAGAACTTCGGCCTCATTTGCTTCGCAGGGTCATAAAAGATGTCGAAAAGTCCCTGCCACCCAAGATTGAGCGAATCCTCAGAGTGGAGATGTCACCACTTCAAAAGCGGTTGGTCTTTTTTTGACATCGGGAGTGTCCTTAAGTCAGTGTGATTGCAGATCGAGGGGCTTCCTGCCCCTTACTTGCTTACCTCAAAGGCGTCAAACCCTAAATTTGTATTTGCAGGAAATCTGTTTGCGCCAACCTCTGAAATTTATGAGATCAAATTCTATGTTTCGACTTGGATCTTAGTTGTAGGAGTCAATTGTTAAGTGAAGGACTTGCCTGCCACATCTTATCTTCATAACTAATTGCTGGACCGACTTGTTCTCTAATAATATCCATGAATCTTTGGGCAGGTACTACAAGTGGATTTTGGAACGTAATTTCGCAGACCTTAATAAAGGTGTGAGGGGGAACAACCAGGTAATTTGGCTCGCTCGGATGAGCGTGAGGCCATGAGACCCTTCCAGTTCGGATTTTTAAGTTAGTATGGGTTGTTGTCGATTATGTGTTGTGTCTTATGTTGAATAGGTGGCTGGAATGCGTCCAACCCACGCGGAGCCGGCATTCTTTTGGGTTTTGATTACAACTTTCTACAACGTGTGTTCTGTTCGATCCCAGTTCGAGGCAAAACATTGTAACTGAGTATCATCAAATCTTCCGCGTGCAGGTTTCACTTCTCAACATTGTGGTGGAGCTGAAGAAATGCTGCAATCATCCGTTTTTGTTCATCAGTGCTGAACATGCCTACGGCGGTGGAGATAATAGAGACGAGGTTAACAATAGCAAGGTGGAGAATATAGTGCTAAGTAGTGGCAAACTTACCATACTGGACAAGTTGCTCAGCCGGCTTAAAGAGACGAAGCATCGAGTACTTATATTCTCACAGGTATTTGACATCCGCCGTTTTTTTAGGATTGCTTCTCAGAAAAGACGGAATGCATCAAGTGCCTCTTCATTCTCTGGCCTCCAGCGCAGCTCACATCCTATCATGGTATCATCCTTCATCACAGATTTTGTGGATACTTTTCCTTGCAGATGGTAAAGATGTTGGATATACTGGCCGACTATCTAAGTCTCAGAGGTTTCCAGTACCAAAGATTGGATGGCAGCACAAGAGCAGATCTCCGTCAGCAAGCCATGGAACACTTTAATGCTCCTGGAAGTGAAGATTTCTGTTTCTTGTTGTCCACTAGGGCAGGTGGCTTGGGAATAAACCTCGCCACTGCTGATACAGTCATCATATTTGACTCCGATTGGAATCCACAAAACGACCTCCAGGTATCACTCGAATAAATCATTACATATGGATAACGACCCTTACGCATTGTTGGCATGTATAGTTTGTCTTTTAGTGGCGCTCTTGTTGGCTAGTCTCAAGTACTTGTCAAAATAGTAATTACTGATTGGTTGAACACTAAACGTGTATTTGTTTTTCAGGCTATGAGCAGAGCTCATCGAATTGGTCAACAAGATGTGGTGAACATCTACCGGTTCGTGACGAGCAAGAGTGTCGAGGAGGATATTTTAGAACGCGCGAAGAAGAAGATGGTATGAACCGATGGATATCAGCTGTTAATCGGGAATGTGTTGCAGAAATATCTTGTTTTAGGTCTAGGTACTTCTTGCACATGATTTTTTTTCACTCCAGTGCTCTTCTAGCTCAATTAGAGTTGAGTGATAGAACGCACTTCATGTTTTATTTTTCAACCGTTGGTGGGAGGCCTTAAAAGCAATATGTGGTCAATAGTCCAAATGATCTTTTTGTGTACATCATCAACTGACCGCTAACCACTGTATATAGCCTTGTTTTGATCGGCTATAATATTGCTTATCGACACAGAGAGTTGGATGGTAATCGTATTAGTTGAGTAAACGATTGACCATTATTTATGTAACTATTACGCAGGTTCTGGATCATCTGGTCATACAGAAGCTAAATGCCCAGGGTAGACTGGAAAAGAAAGAAACGAAGAAGGGAAACACAATGTTTGACAAGGTGCGGAATAGATCAGTTATTTTCTAAGTTTTTGTGGGTTTGGAGAACAGGAAGGCTCATTTTGGCTGCTTGTTTTGTAAGATATTGTAGTATCGAGACGACGGCTTCGTAAGCTTTTGCTGCCTAGAGTCGATCCTATCAAGGTTGGTGCCTCAGTGTAACAACAACTGAGTCACAACAACCAGGCCTCTGTTCGTAACATGCGTCAAAAGCCTGGATGACTTAATCTTAATATGAGCGTCGATCTAGAAGTTTTGCGCTAAATTCCGGAAGTGGTCTTCAATTTGCCAGAGGGAACTTGCGGCCATTCTTCGATTTGGTGCAGAGGACCTCTTCAAAGAGGAGGAAGATGGAAAGAACAAACTTGCAAGCATGGATATTGATGAAATTTTGGCGAGGGCAGAGAAGGTCGAAGCCAAGGAAGGAGATGACGAAGGGGAGAGCAATGAATTATTGAGTGCTTTCAAGGTGAGCCTTTGGTATGTTGAAAGTTTCTATGATTGTGTTAACATTGAATAAGACTTGATGAAATTGTACGTTTTGATGTCGTAATTTTATATCTATCTAAGAGGTTTTTCAAATGTGTGAGTGATTTACGAGTTTTCATTTCATGCTGTTTACCACGGTCTGTCTGTAAGAGTGTGAGTGCAGTCTAGACAGATCATTGGATAGCTTCGTATATCAATAATTTCATCTGCGCCTGGTCTCATGACTACTTGATTGAGTAAAGATCAAATGTTAGAGGTGGTTTGATTTTAAGTTCGCCCAATTCGCAGGTTGCCAATTTCAGCAACGCCGAGGATGATGCCACTTTCTGGAGCCGCTTAATACCTCCCGAGGCGGTTTTGCAAGCACAGGTAGGCTTACTGTTTTACCGAACTAGATCATTGTAAACCTACAGCTTCTAATACTGCTGGTTGATGATCATTCTCATCATATAACTGTTTTCTATACAGGAGGAAACGACTCAGAGGGCCGCGAGGAACGTGAGGACCTATGCTGAAGAGACGACTGTGGGGCGCAACAGTAGGAAAAGGCGAGCTACGGACAGCAAGGATCGTCCCAGTAAACGTTCTACGAAGGCTGCTGATGTGGTTGTGCCTCAGTCTGCTCCATTGGAAGGTGCCGCTGCACGTGTTTGTACCTGGGATGCCGGAAATCTTTCCAAGAAGGATGCAAGCGCGTTTGTTCGAGTGGTACGTCTCTTAACGTGGTTGCCAAATTCTGTAAACCAGGGGAATATAGTTGTATGAAACATGTGCGGCTTAGCTGAACTGGGGCAAGTAACGATAATCAGCATATCTTATGTTACAGGTCAAGAAATTTGGTGATTCAAACCGAATGAAAATGATCACGAAAGAGTGTGGTGGTGCTGTCGAAGGGGCCGAAATTGCGATGCAGTTGCAGCTTTTCAACAATCTTGTGAGCGGTTGCAAGCAAGCTGTAAAAACTGCTGGTCTCGAGAGCAAGGTTAGTAGAGGCGTCCACAAATTAACAAACATAGCAAACAGTACCTGGGTTGTTGCTTGCACTGATGGCTGAATCATGTTTATTCCAGAATTGAAAAACTTAGTGTCATTTTAGATGGCATGGACTACGGTATGAATCATCTCCTTAGGATGTATGGCCAAGGTCCAGTTTGATAACCTGACGAGTCAATAAAGTCACGTCCATAGACATTTCTTTGAAAGCCTTTTTGACTTGTTATAAGGGGATACCAACCGTGAATCCATTGACTTTCGCCGCAGGCCGCTGTTCTGGATTTTTTTGGCGTGCCGGTCAAAGCCCAAGAGGTTCTTGCACGTGTCAAGGAGTTAGCTGTGCTGGCGAAGCGAGTAAAGCGATATCCAGATCCTGTTACTCAATTTCGCTTGAAATCTCATCCGAGGAACCCCGCCTGGTCCAAATCATGTGGTTGGAACCAAGGTACTGACAGACTATTTCAGTGTGGAATGTTGGTTTGTAGTCTGGCATGATGGCACAAGCTTCAAGTATTACTTACATGTACATGACACTTCGTTTGGCTAGTCATTAGTCATATGTAGCTCTACTTGATCAGAGTTTTGATGCTGAATCAGGAATTTTTGTGATTAGTGTGAACTGCCAGTCAATTTCAGAATGTTGATACGAGGATGGCATATTTTGTTAAGTTGCTGATTATCTTGGCTTGATTGGCAGTGGATGATGCGAGATTGCTTCTAGGGGTTCATTATCACGGTCTGGGGAACTGGGAAAAGATAAGGACGGATGACAGGCTTGGATTAAGTGACAAAATTGCTCCAGCAGGGATGTCAGCTGCAGAAACTTCTCTCCCTAGGGCCAATCATCTTGATGCGCGTGCAACTGCATTACTCCGCAAGGTATGGCGGACTTTGCAAGAATTCATTCAGAAAGTACACTCAATCAGTGTAAATGTTCCAACTGTCAGCAATTGTGTTCTTATTAAATTTCCATAACCAGCCCGCGCATTCGTTGCGATTCAAATGGTGATCTTCCTGAACATGCTGACATAATCTAGAGTCCATGACAAGTCCAAAGTCTTTTCGCGTGGACTTACATCAAAGCACACCGTCAAAATTGCATACGTCAAATATCATACTCGTTCTTCTAATTAACTGAATTGAACTCGTACATATATAATCGGCTGTAAGTAACAGCGGGAAAGATGAGGAGCTCCCTGGTTTTTAACCAAATTGTTCCTGAGGTGCCTCATGTCTTCAGGCAGCTTGAGCCAGACTTTAGCATATCTGGTGAGGGAAACACGAAGGAAACACGGTGTCCATGTTTGGCAGACACTATGGAAGGTTCTGACACCTGTATTTGCCCTGTCCAGGAACTTGAAGACGCTCAAGAAGCGAACGGGTCTGGTGTCCATGATAGAACAAAGGCAGAGAGAGTTGGTTCTAAGCGAGAGAGGAATGACAACCATGGGAGACATGAGTTGAAGGATAGGCATGGAAAGTCTGGTCCTCATGCCAGGAACTTATTCGTGAATACTAGTGCTGTGGTGACTCGTGAACGTAGGGCTCCCAAGGAAGAAACCGTGAAAGAAGAAGGGGAAATTTCTGATGCTGATAATACACCACAACCTCGCAGAGGGAGGAAAAACCCGGACGACAGAGAAGATAAGGAAACTAAGTGGCACGAGTGGTGCGCAGAGATGATGCATGATCAGGCGCGGACGCTCAAAAGCCTTGAGAAGCTACAAACAGCGTTTGATCTGTCGAAAGAAGAGGTATTTTGGGTCGAAGTGGCTCCGTCTAACGTAGAAATGAAGATTGTGAAAAAAGATTTGATTTTGACCTGTTCATGAAGTTTGAAGAGTTTTTTCTTAACTGCTTAACGACGATGGTGTAATATTGCAGACTTTGCACAGAGTGAAAAAGTACCTGAAACTCCTGGGTCGAAAGGTGGACGAAATCTTGGAGGACCATGTGGATTCGAGGAATTTGGAACGTAAGTTTCTGGTCCAATGTTACCCTTATCTCTTTGTTACTCCAAGGTCAGAGCTTTATATAATCTAGATGGTCATCTCTAGCCAAGTGATATATTTGTTTGTATGTCAAGGTCAGTATTGGATCAAGCAAGCGCGATTTAGTTTCTTTGGACCTGTTCATAGAAGTTCTCACATAGCATTTCCTGCTACGTAGTCGCTATCACTGAATACAGCCCAACTTATTGTTGAGTAGTAAGAGAGATTTACGACTTCAAGTGTTCGAAGAATTTGCAATATGTGGTGTTTGAAACAAACTATGCCATGGTGAGCGATAACCGATTTCAAGTTATCGGCGTCTGACCTGAACGCCTCTGAGGAATCTTGTCTTCAACTTTCCATTGTGAAGCCCCATTCGTCAAAAGGCACTGACTTTGGCCTTTCCAACGAATTGCAGGAATGGCTGGCAGATTATGGAGCTACGTGAGCACATTTTCCTCCATGTCTGGTGAGAGACTATCCGAATTGTACAAAAAGCTCAAAGAAGCTCCGGTGTCTACCAGTGGCGGGCATCCACAATCGACTGCCGGCCCCAGTGGGCGTGATACAGATCGGATTCATCATGGGGGTGCGAACCATGAGTCCAGATCGCGTCCAAGCGGTAAGCAGCAAGCATTTTTGGAAGGACCTAATGCTGATATGAATTACAGAGACAATGAGCGAGATCGTGGCGATGGAGATGCTTGGCAGCAGCATTACAGGGATGATCAAGATAGAGAGCCTGACGCATGGCAGCGCAGGCAAAGAGATGATAGACTAGGTGATAGACTAGAAGGAGCAGGATTGTCTGGTCAACTGCCCTTGTACAGAAAGTGGGAAGGTCGACCCGGAAGTTCAGAAGGCTGGGACAGAGGAGTCTTGAGACCACCAGCAGGAATTCACGGTGCTGCTTTTGGTCCAGTTGCAAATGGTGCAAATGGCTGGGCGCATGATCCCAGGAACAGAGCTGGAGGCGGCCGCGGTCCTATGGATCGGGATCGCAAATGGCATGGGGATGACGTGTTGATACATCATGGTCGAGGAGGGGCGGGAAGGGGTCTCTGAAGTAGCATAAGTATTGAAGGGTTGAATGTGTAGTCTGTTGAACCCACACCACAAATTTACCATCTGAAAGGGGTTTTTCTCAAGTTACCCCCCTCACACATCCTCAATTTTTTTAAGAACCAATAAGATTCAAGGTAGCTGTAGCCTTCAGCTGAGATCACATTCTAGTACAGTAGTGCACCTTTTTGGCTCCACCTTCGCACTTTGGTCTCCAAAATAGTTACAGACCAAATTTTGGAAAGTCCAGGAAGAGAACGCAGCGCTCACCGGATGTACAGACTGTCAGAGTGACGTAAGTAATTAGTTCTCATCGTCGATTTTCCCAAGAGGGTGAAGGTTTCGTGTTGAATCTCATGCTGGTCTGCTTACACATATAGCAGAATTGTGAAAAAATGGCTGTGAATACTAGAAGCCCGATTGATTGGCGCTTTTGAGTGTAAGGAAGCCGTGTGATTGTGAAGTCTTTCTCGATGTCAAGTGATTTGCTGCTTTGTAATTTTGACCTTGCAAACGAAAGTCCGTTTCCTCATCAATCTGGGTATCCTGTGCATCTCCAATTTCGAGATCTATCCTACACAATAGTTGTTTCTGTGGCACGGAAGATCTGGTGATTTGCCACTTCACAGTCCACTGCACTACGACGTTCATACAGAAGAGTCAATCGTTCGATCCAGAAAATAGTTGCGGAGGTCCGATCGAAGTAAATCGCTGATACCCACAGACGCAGTGAAGGGGCCATATGTCATCCGTTCCCAATGACGAAAGATGAGTGCCGTCCGACCGACCGAAGTTCCCGCACACTTCGAATCCACTTCGGCAGGCTGCCGCATCTTGTCAACGTGGTGGAAGTCGCAGTCTCATCAGTCCTTAGCTAGGACCAGTCCGAATTTTCGGTTATTTCGGTCGAGGATAGTATAAGCCGTGTTAAGTGTTCTGGTGCAAACTCGAGCGAGTAATGCAGGGAGACCTTTCTGGCATGGGATCGGTCAAGGGTGGGTTCTAACGACAAGGTCTCTGGGAAAAGGAGTCGATGTGCAGGCAGGACAAGAATGTCGTGATGGGATATAAGGAAGCAAGACCGAATCTCGTAGTGGGTGAGGTGAGTTCATTCATGATCGAAGAAGGTGAGATGAAGTGAGTATTCATCGAACTCGGAACCGAAATCCAAGAACTTTCATCGACGATCGATCGGACGCAGAGGCCAAAACACACACAAAACCTCGGAAGGAAACATCAGCCGCCGCGACGGCGCAGACGGCGCTCTCCAAGAGTCCGCCGTCAGATGGAAGAACACGACGCTGCAGTCGGAGACGAGCGTCAGCACTCGGGAACAGTCGGTCGGATTCCGTGCCAGACGTCCGGCGGCCAGAGCAAGCAAGAAAGGAAGGAAAATTTCCGGCAACGATGACGACGACCCCGGCGCCCAGTGAATGACCTCCCGGCGCGTGGCCTCGTTCCGTTCCGTTCCGCTGTCTGTCTGTCTGTCTGTCGACGAGAGGAAACGGAAGGAAAGACGAGGAACCAAACAACTCCGTCCGTGTGTCCGTCCGTCGGCGGAAGATAGCTCTGGCTCTGTCTGGGTCGCGCGTTCGCGCTGTCTTGGGTGCCAGAGAAGGGAAGGGAAGGGAAGGGAAGGGAGGGAAGAGAGCAGAGAAGGGACGAGGCGAGGAGAGAGAGAGAGAGAGAGAGACGAGGAGGAGCTCGCGAGGTCCGAGCCTTCTGCCAGAAGAGCGTCGCGCCCCTTCCTTCGCTGCCTTGAAGTGCCCGACGAGCGCGCGAGGGGCGCCGGGCTCTGCGATTGCTCGAGTGCTCGATTGATTGATTTATTGATTGATTGATTGATTGCTCGCTGGGCTCTCGCGACGAACGAACGAACGAACGCGCCGTCCAGAGCTCGTTTTGCCAGGCAGAATCCTGCAGCTTGGACATGACGTTACCTGACGGGAGCGGGCACTCCGCGAACGGGAATCGAATTGGACGTTAGTGCGCGAGCCATCGAGCCGGCCAGAGGAGGAAATCGTTGTTGTCCGAGGTGACAAAGATTTGATCGATCAAAAGAGTTTTGGTGGTGGAGGCCGGGGAATGCCGACGGAGCCGGGTTGTGTTCCCGTCGGAACGATTCAGCTTGGCTCAGTTGAGTAGCAGTCCAGGAACAAGTGTTGTATTAGCGCCGGGTCCTGGAGTGGCAGGAGCTCTTCTTTGTGTGGAGCATTAAATATGGGAACCGAGCGACGCCCGGCAAGCAACGGGTGACTCGCTCCTGACAGCATAGACGCTTGAAAATCTCGCAAGCTCTAGACAGCTTGCAAGAGTTTGATTTTTTTTGCCGGGAAATGTGGTCGTCGAAGCAAATTGATTGATGGAGGTGAGCAGCAGCCACTTCATTTTGTGTGTTTGTGTTCAGTGTGGGCGTCCTTAACTTCTCTGCGGCGTACCCGTCCCACATTTTACCACCTTCTCTAATTTTTACCAAGAAATAAAGTATGGGTGGCCTGCCGAAATATTACTGGCGAAAGAAGCTTCTGAAATTGGACACGAAAAGAGGAGACATGCTCCAAGATACGACTTAGTGAAATTACTTCGCGTCTACTCAGTTTTCGGCTTTTCGAAATTCTTAGTCGTTCTTGTTTCACAAAAACTGATGCACTTTTCGCATTCTGCTAGGTATGAGGCGGGGAGAGGCAGCTTAGAAACTGGGCTCTTGAAGCTTGTCTCGATGCAATTGTCTTGTGTACGGGGAAATAGGAAGAATCAAAAGGCATCTGTTACTATCTGGAGTGTTTGTCAAACCCTAATGGGAGTGGAGCTGTTATGCAGGGGGGAGTGTAAGCAAAGGTTCTCATCTTGAGGGGTCCAGGGCTGCCTAGCGTGATGGATCACGCTCCACGGAAGAGGGGCAGGCCTCCCAAGCATCCGAAGCCCAGTGGTCCGGCATCTTCGCCACCCCCTTCAGGGTTCTCAACGGCACGGGGTGTGGTTGGAACCAATGCTACGACCGAAATTCTTCACACTCAAAAATCTGGCGGAGCAGAAGGGGAGGATGTAGAAATGCTGGACCGCGCACCATTAGTACGAACAGGACAGCGTGGGAGGCCTCAAAAACGAGGGGTTATCATAAAGAAGAGTCCTCCTGTGGGCGTGGGTCAGGGAGGAAAGAGTGGTGGTGGTGGCACCACTGACAGGGAGTATTCTAAAGATGTAGAAGGAGGAAGTTTGGAGCTGGATGAGAGGTCGACTGAAAAGACTACACGCAGGGGCAAGAAACCTGCTGTTCCCAAGCTTCATCTGCAGTCTGATACCCCTTGGCATACCAGTTACGATGATACCAACGGGCCTGATGACGTCAAGGATGCACCTTTCATGGATGCTGTCGTGAAGGTGTTCTGCGTCCACACAGAACCCAACTTTTCGCTGCCATGGCAGCGCAAGCGTCAGTTTAGTTCAAATAGCAGTGGTTTCATTATTGGCGATCGGCGCGTTTTGACCAACGCGCATTCCGTCGAGCACCACACGCAGGTGAAAGTGAAAAAACGTGGATCGGACACCAAGTATCTGGCCACGGTTCTGGCAATAGGGACAGAATGCGACATAGGTACTTCTCGGACTCTGTCCTGCAAAGATATGCAGTAGGCCAGTGCGTCTGGAGTGTTTCTTTACGCTTTTGCTCGTCCGGTGCTCTTGAGGACGTTCACGGGGGCATGTTAGAGGTTCTCCAAGAGTTTGAAAATCTGTTCTCAAATTTAAAATTACAGACGTCTAGACGCGATCATCAACATTCTCCCTTGCTTGTCCCGGGCATGTCATGACTCACGTTCTTCGCTTTGTTCGATTGACTTTTCCAATTTTCCTCGTACCAATCTAGTTTTCTGTTTATACTTGTAACGGCATTCGTTCACAGGGACATGCGTTACAGTTCAAGACATTGAAAGGAGGTTTATTTTTGTTGTCACTTCCGGTTTCTTCTGTTTTGCCCCCACCTACTTTGAACAATAGAATTAACCACACTCGAAATTGGACTTTTTATTTCACGCTTTTATCCGTACGTTTTTATCCAGTCTCTAAATAGTTTATGTTGTGATTTTCTGGCGTTTATCTCCTCACCTTCTTTGGCTGTTTTTGAGTCGTCGGAGCTCCTACCGATCTGAAATTTTTTTCCATTATAACCATTAGGTTCTGAACCTACACGGGAGCCTATTTGAAGCTTAAGATGCTCTAACTCCGCGAGGTCTACTTGCAGCCATGCTCACGGTCAGCAACGATGAGTTTTGGGAAGATGTCACTCCAGTTGACTTTGGATCATTACCAAGATTACAGGACGCAGTGACTGTTGTCGGGTACCCCATAGGTGGTGACACCATCTCTGTGACCAGTGGTGTTGTCAGCCGTATTGAAGTGACATCATATGTCCATGGGGCCACGGAACTGCTGGGTGTTCAGGCAAGTATTGTCGGCTAAGACGTTTTATGGCTAGCAGGTCTTACCTAGGCGCAGATGTCTAGAATTTCATCCTCGTTACCGCTGCCTAGCCTGTAACAGGACTTTTTGGCCCTGGGTTTGAATTTTTAAATCAAGTACCACGTAATGATTAGCTCACATTTGTGTGCCTCATGTCATGGTATTTTGTTTGTGTAAAGATTCAGTGTCCTTTTCTAACGTATTATCCTTTCAGATCGATGCAGCCATTAACGCAGGTAATTCCGGTGGACCAGCCTTCAACGATCGAGGACAGTGCGTTGGAATCGCTTTCCAGTCTTTGAAACACGAAGATGCAGAAAACATTGGATACGTCATTCCAACTCCAGTTATCACACATTTCATCACCGACTACGTGAGAACAGGAGATTATACAGGTATTCTCATTTCTCACATTTCCCTAGCCTTCCAGTCTGAACTATTCCATCACGCTGTAATCTCTGCGCCTGGAAATCTTCATGCAACCGGTAAGCACTTGGATGTCAAAGCAACAGGATATTGGGTATGCTCCGCTTCCTAATATTCAATGTCAATCAGGTTTTCCCATTCTGGGCATTGAATGGCAAAAGATGGAGAATCCTGATTTGCGGAAGGCCTTAGGCATGAAAACAAACCAAAAGGGAGTCCGGATTCGGAGGGTTGAGCCAACCGCTCCAGCAGCCAAACAGTTAATGTCGTCAGATATTCTTCTCAGTTTTGACGATATAGATATCGCCAACGATGGGACAGGTACCGAAGGCTGAAAGTCTCCTCTGTTGACATTGTCTTGTTTCTTTGAAAGCATGCGTTTTCTTCATTCGGGAAGTCATAGTATATACAAACAGATATAAACAGATACATAGTATATAAACAGATTCGCAAGCGGTCGATTGTTAGTTACATAGCAACACTACTGTATTTCGCCATCTAGTAAATTCGGCTGTATCTGAGAAGGTGTTTTTTTTTATCACATGCTGGTCGTATTTCCCAGTTCTGTTATCTGTTATCTGTTATCTGGAGTGGGTGAGTACGCTTTGCACAACACTGGATACTAACTTTTACCTTTGTGAATTTTTTTGCAGTACCATTTAGACATGGAGAACGAATCGGGTTCAGCTACCTTGTTTCTCAAAAATATACAGGCGAAGTAGCGAGGATCAAGATTTTGCGGGGTTCCAAGTTCAAAGAGTTCGAAGTTGAGCTAGCTAATCAAAAGCGTTTGGTTCCAGCGCATATCAAGGGGAAACCTCCTTCATACTATATCATTGCGGGCATCGTCTTTGCTGCTGTCTCGGTTCCATACCTCCGATCTGAGGTGAGTTTGAGACCTTGGTTTGCATTGAGATGAAATTTGTTGTTTTCTATTACGGTGGTACGATGAACCTGATCTAAATAACATACAGAGTTAAACCTCCCAGTAGTGTCACCTCTTATGAGTGACATCCTCTCATTAGTGACGTAAAATTCCAGAACCATTAGTTTCTAACTTGTAAATCTGCTCAATAAGAACGGTACGTCACTATTCCCAATAGTGACATGATACTATCCAATAGTGTCAATTTCAATTGAAGTTTTGGAGTATAAATTCCTATCATGATCACAATACATAGCTATGAGACTAAAAGAATGTGGCATAAATTTATTTAAAGATATATCTCAACAATTCACTCTTTCTAGACGTCAGTAAAATAATTCGCTACACATATTATCACCAATTGTTTCACTCACATTTTTGTGTATTAATCTGAATTCAAACGTAATTATAATCTCTATGTTAATCATCGTGAACAATACAGATGTGCAAATGAAGACGAATTTGAAACTAAACAACACATTTATAGAATGTACTAGGATTGATGTAATGCACGATAAAATATCTATGCGCTTTTGTTTGTATAATTGACACCTCCCAATAGTGACATCTAATCCCAACACCAATGTATGTTACTATTAGGAGGTTATATTAATATTACGCACCTCCCAATCGTGACATCGACTTGTAACAACAATGTATGTCACTATCAGGAGGTTATACGCACTTACTCTTGTGAGTGACACCTCGCAATAGCGACCTAAAGCCCTAGTACCAATATATGTCACTATTGGGAGGTTCTATTCTGTACATCTCAGTTGACAAATACTAAATATTAGAATCTTTTACATCACTGGCACTGATAGTCTGCCATCACTGGGTCACATCCATTATTTTGATGCAGTACGGAAAGGATTATGACTACGATTCTCCAGTCAAACTGCTTGACAAGCTGCTACATGCCATGGCACAAACCGAGGAGGAACAATTGGTTGTGGTATCTCAGGTAATTAGGATCTTTTGATTTTATCGCGAAACGTCTTTGCAGAATTTCCAATCCAGTTTCACCTTTTTTTACTACGTCATGATGAGGGGGCTCACTTTGCAGTGCTGTCATTCCATTCTAGTGATCATGCCTTTTCCAAGAGTGATAGCGGCTACTTTGTGGTCGCTCTTAGAAGTAAGCGACCTCAGATTCATTAGCAAAGCAAGTGGGCAATTGGACATTAACGTAAAGGTTGTACAGGTATTGGTTGCAGACATCAATATAGGGTACGAAGATATTGTCAACACTCAGGTAAGTCCTACGCTGGATGCCCTTTATTTCGGCCCTCCATGTTGTTGATGAGGTCTTCAGGCTCTAGTCACGGTGTTTTACCTCTCTGGGATTGTTTACATCACACTGTTTAATGTTTCTTAACGGTGCTGAAATTCTATATAGAACAGGCGGCTTAATGCCTTCGTTAGCTGAAAAATGTAATGTTCAAATACGTCAGAGTAATAAACGATCCTCTCAGTGAAGAATATGCGTAAAAACTTCTGTTATAAAAAATATGCCAATATTTACTGGATTTGTTTCTTTTCAGATTCTTGCGTTCAACGGTACTGCTGTCAGGAATCTGAAGCATTTGGCGAACATGGTTGAGAATTGTGAAGATCAGTTCCTACGTTTTGATCTTGAATATCAGCAGGTTTTGAGCAACAATCCTTACGTCTCTTTGACTTGTAGAATTTAAGGTGTACTGTGTACTTTCTTTTCGAAGAGTGTTTTTTACGAACCAAGTTGCAGACTCCACTTAGTGGAATTCATTTCAATTCAGTTTCAATTCAATTGAAGTATCTAAGTATAAAAATTGATATAATGAGAAGATTGGCATGCAGATTGTGGTGTTGGAGACGAAGACTGCGAAAGCTGCGACCATCGATATTCTTGCTACCCATTGTATACCATCAGCTTTTTCGGACGATTTGAGAGTTTAGCTTGGGGAAGGCAGCTTTTTAAGCCTCGGCGAGTCCTCGCAGTTTTTGTTGTTCAAATCCGAGTTTGATACTTGCAACTCATCATTATGAAAGATCATATGTAGTCAAGAGTTTTACGCTATTACAATTTTTCACAATCAATGTAACGCAAAGTAGATCCATGCGACCTCGCATCCATCATCATGCTGATGTGACAAGCAATAAAGAATATGAAGGTGTACCAAATTACGCAGTATTTTTTTTGTCCATTTGGTCTGAATCACAGTCTCTTGCAGGCCTTGCAAGGTGTAGTCTTGCCTAGGACTCTTCACAAATCCAAACTTGTCGAAGAAGCCGGCCACGTACCAGATGTGTCACTAGGCCTCTGGTCGGAAGATTAGTTGTATCGAGATTTTGTATTTTGTAATTATCTAACAGTGTACAGATGGTTTTGAGTTGAAGCCGTGGGAAGTGTCCTTTGTTCTAACCATGGCGTGGCTTTAGAGAGCCGTATCGATTTATCGCTAATTTGGAAAATTTGTGCAATGTGAATAGGGGATCGTTAACTGTGATCATATTATGGTTACGATTCTTCGCATCATAAGTGAATACTGTTCACCTTCACCGTTTCTTCCTGTACAATGTACTTCTCGTTTAGGAAAACTTGTTTTCCACTATACCTCATTTCTGTCATCGTGGACTTTCGGTTCATACTATATTGTTACACAGTTGTACGCAGCGACTTGGTAATATTAACAGTATATTAATGTCCACCTTAACATTTTTCCTCCAACCAAGAAGATTAAGGTACATTCTAAGAATATTCAGTAGACAACAATGATGAAACCAACTTGTCAATTGAGGCTGTGCGAACAGTTCAAATGAAAACTACGCGGAATGACCCATCGAATTTCTCCCTCACGTGTCCATCATCGTTGTTGAAACATAGGCGCACAGAATATCCGACTGCAATCTAACAATGTCAGATCGTTCAACAGTAAACTTATGACGCTACTCTGTTTCAATACTTCCATCCTTCTTCCCTTCCCCTCACCGCACAGCCATTAAACTACTTCGAACACTTGAAGGATGGTAATGTTTATCCACGCGGGCTAATCCAAATCAACGGCCAGATAGGGAGACAGATCCACTCACAGCTGTACTATTTGCTACTCAATGCTTTTCAACATTACTTACCTTAGTTCCAGCCGCGATTGCAAGCTGCTTGACATCGACATAAAGTCGATGGTGACTTCGAACTCAATCATTCCAATCCCCAAACCCAAAGTCTGGTGAGTGGAAGAATACAAACTTCATGAGACTACTGTCTGTGTAGGAACTTTTGCTGTCATGATTGGTCCGAAACGAGTGAACGTTCAAGCAGATGCAGCAGACGACGTGAACAACCGGAACAAGGGACAGGGGACGAATATCGACATGATAAATGGCAAGAATCTTTGTGTCTCGTTCAATCCATCTATTAAATCTGATGTCCGATCGACATAGCATGAACACTTCGGATGTACAAAAATAACTCAAGCCAGATCTGGACAAGTGGCAGAACCAGTATACCCCACAGTGATAATTTCGAGTCCTATTTATTTTGGATCTGTTTCGTGCATGCAGCATGTTTCCCCATGCAAATAAACTACACTTCAAAAATTATGACACTCTGCGCCAAAAGTGCCAAGAACAAGCTCGTGCGCCGGAGGAAAACCAGCACACCACTTTGATGAGTACCTAATTCCTTGCGAATGCCTTACATAGATTGATAAAATTCGAATTAAGAAAACACCCGTAAGCCTGTCGGGCATCCAAGAATTCCGCCCTGTGTCAAGTTCACAACTCGTACTATCCACTTTCTCTTCAAGAGTTCCCACAGCTTCACTCCCGATGCAGCCCCTAGAGTGTCGAAACTGCTCTGAACTACTGAACTACAGCGGAATAGAGAGAATGCTCGTGAAACCAACAGGTTCTGCTACAATCCGCATCCTTCTACTGCTCTGTACTTAGTTTACTTCTTCTTCTCGGTACCTCCGGTCGCCCTGATTAAACAACAGACCAGCGTCAGCACATGCGATACGTTCGAGCTGGCTCAGTGTGCATACAGGCGCATCAATGCGAGGCGTATTCAAGACATCTCAGTGAACCTTACCTTTGCTTGCGAAGGACAGATGTCATCTCCTCTCTCTTGCGCTTGGCACGCAAGTGGGTTCCGAGTTTCTTCTTGGCAACCTTCAAGGCTCTCTTGTCCTTGCCAACCTTCAACAACTCAGTGATCCTCTTCTCATAGGGGGCGAAACCGACCACCTCACGGATCAACTTCCTAACGAAAGAAGTCCTCTTTCCCAACTTCTGCATTATGTAACATTTGAACCATTCGCTTGTCATGAGATGAGGGTAACGATTGGAGATTCGTGAAAGTTGTGTTTGAGGATCCATGAGAAGAAGTAATTTGTACAGATTTCCAAATTTCAGGCATTTGTTCGCAGAATTAAGTTTTAAAACCACACAGGAAATCCCAGCCGCGACAGTGTTCATTAGGGAGAATATACATCGAGACTGCGCCGAATTTACCGCCGAGGGGAGATCTAGTCCTTACAAGAGGATAAAACAGGTTCTTCACAAAACATAATTCAAAATTGTGCCCCAGCTCGAGGGTGAAGAACCGAAAATTGGCAAAGAGAAGAGGAGCGATAACTTACGCCCTTGTTGGCAGATGGGCGGGGAGCGAGCTCACGCTTGGTGACGATGTGTCCCTTGGTCAGACCCACGGCAATTCCACTGCCAGCCACAGCGGGCGCCATTGCGACAACCCCCGAATTTCCTCCCTCCCTCCCGAAACCGACGACGAGAACCTGCAGGAGCGACACCGACGTACTGCGAAGACGAAAAGGGTCGTAGCGGAAAGATTTCGCCGCTCTATACTCGTCAATGCACTTTCCCTCTCTCACTCGCTATCTGCACTCGTACTTCGCTATGGCTCCGTGTCAAACCCTAACCCTAACGCAGACGGGCCTGGCCGGTCGTCCCGCTAGCACGCAGCGAGTCCCCAGTCCGTTCTCGCCCCCTTCTGCATTTTCTTTCTTCTTCTAATTCCGAGGACTCGGCAACCGGCTGGCCTGCTACATCGGTCGGCATTACAGGCTCTTCTACGTCGCCTTCAACCGGGAAGTTCCTCATCGATGGATGTAACCTGTAACATGCTGCGTTAGTTAGTTAGACCTTAGAGTCTCGTCAAGCTAACCGGACTACGAAGAGGTTGCAGGATAGATATGTACAAAATTCAACATTTATCAAACTGACATTCCATGCACATCCAAATCTTGCGGATCAATCTACACACGAGATCCGTGAAATTGTACGAAGAGTATTCATCTGACTTTATATTAGATGCGCTAGCTATCCATGTTAATCTTCCCGAATGAGGGAGAGGTTTCTGGCGGGCCTACTCTTTTAAATCATTTTGCAACCGTAAGTCTTTTATGTTGGAAGTGGACATATAGTCCCAGCTAGTTTTTCAACAAATAATGAGACCACACATGTCAAGAAATGTATAATTCCTCTGTGAAATGAAACTCCTCAAAAAACTCCAAAGATTGATTAAAGGAAAATATATCCCACCAATTGGAAAAACCTACACATGTTAACAAAACATGACATTGTGAACAAATTTGTTCAAGACATGGGGAAAAAATTATTTATTTATATATATACATACATAAATACATATACATCCATACGTATCAAAAACTATGAACGAACAATTTATTTGTGTTGCAATTGCATCTATACATTACAAAGAGATTAATAACCTTAACAAAAATTATCACCATATATTCTAGGATAAAAAACAAAAAACTTTTATTTTTAAATCAAATTTACAATCTAAACACGTTTTTAAGAAACAGTGTCCTTTTGAAATCAAGTTTTCTAAACTCTTCACATGCATGTCAATATGAACCAATATCTAAAGACATAGTTGATTTTTTAATTTTAGAGATTAAGTAGATACATCAAAATTGAATAGCAAGTTTACCTACTGCAGAAACCTATATTCAATCATTAAACTTTGTGAAGAAAGATTACAAAACTATAACGATTCTTTGTAATTATATTATGATTTTTAAAATTAATTTTTAATACTTTAAATTGATATCAGAAAATGAGAAATATGATTCTAACCAAATTAATAAAATAAAATTTTGATATTTTTCATCTGGATTCATTAAGAATATTTAATTAAATCGTACAAAATATCTGCTTGAGTATATAATGATACAGTATAGGGTTGAAATTTGTGATTTATCTAAATTATAACTTGCAACAGTTGTTAAGTTTTTTGAAAATATGCATACATTTCTGGACTATGTTTAAAATTTTATTCGTTCTTTAATAGGTCCATAAACCTTTTATCCTGAATTAAAATCAATCCTTGAGTTTGTAATGAATGGAATGAAACATTCTTCCAAAATAAGATAATGCATCGTCCATAAAAAATTTTAATGAATTTACTTCATTGAAAAAACTCATCCACAAGTGTATAATGAAAATCTTAATCTAGCCGAACAAGAAAATTCCATTTCATAGTCTCATGAATACGGAGATTTTTCACGAATGTTATGACTAGTTACTATATCAACAAATTTGCCTTTTACTAAAACCGGAAGTGTGCAGGTTAGTTTAGTGGCATGAACGCGCATCCCATAAACTGCAATTGAGTTGAATTTCTAAGTCCAGTAATAAAACTGGAATAACTTGACCACCAAAACTTTGTACAGAGCATGACGATGATAAATTTGCTCCATGTTTATAATTACACAGTTCAATAATGTCCAAGGAGTTTGAGTATCTTTTGAGTACAATGTTCATGTAATCTAATCCACTCGCAGTAGAAGCACTAATTTTTAGAGCCCTTGTAACATGACGCTTTATGAAAATAAAGTCTATACAATTTCTAGTGACTAACGGATCTTCAAAACAAGTTTATAACCTCCCTTTAAACCGATGGAGAGAAGCAAATAGAAGTAGTGGAAATAATTGTGTATTATATTCATGACCCTTGTCCTGGTTCTGAACATCATGATAGATATATATTTTTATTTTTATTTATTTATTTATTTATCAGCCTTGTTGAATAATCTGGATAAATGATTTGGTTTCTATGGAAATTGTATGATTGCTACATGGATGTGGAAGAATTTTACTACTCGATTATGCATATTCTCATAAAGTATTTACTCTACAGCAACAATGTGCACACATAACAATGTGCATGATGTAACTTACAACAAATTCTACAAACAAAACTATCACAAACAAACCTGCTTTGACAAACACAACTATTCATGAGATAAGAAGTTTATAACTTCAACAAAGCGTACAGTCCGTGAGAATCCATTCATATATTATTAAGGTGTAATAAGTAAGATTGAGAGCATTGGAATATTACTCACAAAGATCATTATAGCTTCAAATTTCATTCAGTGCAGAACTTCATGTTTATTAGAAGGCAGTTGTAATAAATGATAATTAACTTCTTATAGATTTTTAACCAAATGAGTTTTTAATCAATGTACGAAGTTATTTCATACGATGCACCAATAACAAGAGAAATAAATGCTCACTAATCTAGCTAGATAGTGGATGTTTGACATATCTATTGAAAAATAATCACACACATTACTTGACATCAATTGATTTCAAATTTTTCTATCGTGACTTGATACTTCTACTTTGATCTTGCAGCCTACTTTTCAACTTCAGAGAATATTTGTATACACTATTTTATAATCTCTGCTTTCTAAAATTTCTGTAAGGTATGTATGGATTTAAACATTCATAATCAAATTGAATCGAATTTCATTTGTATTTTTTTATGTTTGATTGAAAATGTTTTCAACAGCTTTATTACAGAATTTGCATGTTGTATGGAGATAATTGGAAAAAAAAATTTCAATGAAAATTTCAAAATGAAGAATTTTTGTTTCAAATCCATTTTTGATTTTGACCAAAAATCTCCAAAACTATTTGTATCGTGTGTGATTTTTTACAATATTATTCAATCTATGACATGAAATATGCTAAGTATTGTGTTTTTTTGAAATTCACATTGTTGACCATGTGGATTATGTTGGGAAAATTTTTGATTACCTAAAAAACAAGCTTTATATGCTACAGTTGATAATCAATGTGTTAAATTTTTTAAGAATTTGGTTTTTTTTAAAATTTTTCTCTTGTGAAAAATGAAAATGCATTATTACAATACAAGTAGACTATTAACGAACATTTTTTTATCACATAGTCATTGCAATTGCAAAAAAAAAGTTTCCAAAAATCTATTCATGGAGATGATTTTTTTTACGATCATTTAAATGCGTCAAGCTTTATGCATGTATTATTTCAAATATATATCCTAACTATCATGAATCAATCAATTTTATCTTTAGAATTTGAATTTTCAAATTTTTGTCATCACTAACATGAATTTCATTTCCAAACTTTATCATATCATTAAACAAATTTTAATTTAGTTTAGTTCGATTTCCAATATTTTTTGGAGAGATAAACTTGTTACTAGTAAAAATTGCATCATGCATAATTAAATATTTTAATCATTGTCTCGTAGATTTTTTATTTTGCTAAAAATGAGATTGATATGTGTATTTCAATGCAATCCATGTGAATATCAGTTAATTATTTTACAAATCTTTACACTGTATGATTTATATAATGATATGATATGATGATTATTTAATATATTCATGATGTGTTTAAGATTCCTGCAACAGATAACATATTTGTTCACTTCATTTTCTAAATTCATAAAATCACAAATATTTTACTAAAAATTATAAAAATAAAACCATAAAAACTATTTTTTCACTCGATCATAGACTAATTGAAATATCACAATTATTATATAAATCATAAAAAATTGCAAAATTACAGAATAATATATAGAGATAGGTAATTTCTTGTGAATTAATTAATGTAGTTTAAAATGCCACAATAGTTCATTTTTGTTACAATATCTATAGATTCGAACTTTTTGTTGTTTATTTCTAATGTATTTGAATTCACAAATCTAATTTTTCAAGTTAAAAATATTCTGAACCATGAATGAAAGTTCAGTATCAAATTTTTATTCATTGATGTTTACATACATCTAATTATTAAGAAGATATCTAATCATTTTGCATGTTTTAAATGAATCTTACATTCGTAGTTTACGCAAACATATAAATCTTCACAGATCTACTCCATTTGTTTTCAGGGAATTGATATTTTGCATCAAAACTAAACCCGTTTGATATGAAATAAAAACCAAGAATGTAATTTTGTATTACACGTGATATTTTTTGAGCTAATTTTTGATACATTCTTTATATCATTTATTCATTTTAGTAAACTATCAAATATTTAAAATGGCTGGATACAAAGTTCACAATTGCATTAACACAAAGAAGTATCTTTTGAGAAAACTGCATTGCTTTTTACATCTTTATTATTTGCTTTTTTGCATTTTCGTAAGTTTGAAATACATGGTGGATAAAATTAGAGAACTATAAAATTAATATAGCGATCATCATTTTCATTTTCTAATTGTGTTTTGATATTATTTTGAATATTATGAATTCTTTTTCTTGCAAATGACATAAGTTGCACAACTTTAATGAAGTAATTTTTTTGTGATATAATTTTATCTCACTAGCCCAATTTCGTTTAGACATAGCCATAAAGAAAAATAAAATCAATGATTTATTGAAATCATCCAAACTTAGAGAAATAAGAATAGATGAATCTACTTTATTTTTTTATGAAAATCACAAACTGATGTCAAAAAATATTAAAACTAATACTCAAATTTTTAAATCCACAAATTAAAGCTAAAAAATCTATAAACTAATAAATTTTTTTGAAATTCAATAAGTTGTAAATAAACCATAAAATTCTCTTCACTCTTTGAAAATCATTACTTGAATTTGACCCCCAAAAAAAGCTTTAATTCCTTTTGAAGCTCATGATTTGAGTCAACAAAACAAAAAAACTTGAACTTTCATCTCCTAGGTGATGTCATAAATTTCTGTTTGCTTCTAAAGATCTAACTTACATTATAAAAACAAAACCATCAACGAGTTATTTGAAGCTCACAAACTCAAAAGCTTATAATCGCTATTCAAAGTTAGTCTATTTTGAATAAAAAAGGAAGGGCTAGTTATCCCTCACCCTATTGAACATAGCTATATGATTGATGAGAGCTATCCGTATGTTTAATAGAGCTCCATGATATAATTTTCACAAGAGAGAAAAAGGGGGAGGAGTAGTGAACATTAGCCTAGGATGAGAGATAATTAGCCCATCTGAAGGATAACTGGCCACTCTCGTATAAAAAGTGAGGTTGTTATATAGCTCACTCAGAACAATTTAGGTATATAACAACCGAATTTTCCTAAATCTTATAAACTCTTAATCCAATAAGCAGTGATGAGAAATAGATTGTTCAAAACCAGTTCCTTCAATCCTCACCTACTGCCAAAGCAACAAGCATTGTAACCGTCATTGTCCTTCAAGAGGGTTGAGTTTCCAAGGGGTCCCATCAAATAATTTCCTCCTTAAAAAGCAAATGAAAGGTAAAAACTTGATATTAAAAATATGTAAGACTTAGTAAGATATAGTAAGATACGCGAACGACGACTCGTTCATTGTGAACAAATAAAAGATGTGTCTAAATAAGGCAAAAACAGAACTTTTTGTCGGCTTGCGTCCGATCCATGTTCAAGTTGAAGACGGATCGGACGGGGAGTGTTGAAGACTTCAACACTCCACATGCCATTTAGAAAAACGTTCAAAGGTACTAAGAAGTCAAACGCATTCTCATTGGCACGATTATGTAGCAGCAAATTCTCAAATTATTCCTTACACAAAGAGTTACAATCTATGTTTCTCTGAAATTATCAGCACCTTTAATTTGTATCCTGTGAATCATGTGACATGTAAAGAACAACACAGTCAGCACAACCAATCATATTGCAATCTTGCAATTTCGTACCCCTGATTAGTGTGTACATGTAAGATGCAGTGAGATAGATTTGTCCATCCGAATGCCTTTGCAACCTATACCTATCTTATAAGGTTAGTTTTCATATCTTACAGTCGACCGGTTTTGTATCACTACGTTTACAGGTTCAACCTCTAAACATGAGCCAAACACGTCCTTAACTGGTTGACGACATAGGGAATGGTCTTCCCTCATCTGAATTTCCACCGCGATATCAAGGCACACTTTTCTTAACTCTACAGATGGGCACACGAAATGACCGTGATTCTAAAGTGCCTAAGGACTCGCCACATGTGGTGGTCAGTAACTCTCTGTTCAGGCCTGGCATAAACTTCATTCCAACCACTTCAAATTTACACTTGTTACTTCTTACTATTTTTTCCGGTGCTTTTGTTTGGCATAATATCTGAAATTGGACACTTCATCGATGTCTTCCCGTGTGGAACAGAATGTAGACAATGAGATAGTGGAAACCACAGCGCAGGAGCAGCGCGACACTTTTATCATCGTTCTCAATCAAGCAGTTCTTGAACTCGTTCACAGAACCCGTGAGTGCTTCAGGATTCGAGAATACTTCCGAGTCAGTGCACATGAAGTCCGCACCTGCTAATCTACCAGTAAATTTGCATTGGGTTGACGCAGTCCAAGATCTGTACATGAGTAACGTCTGCCCACAATGCTGCATCATGAAAATCCGTTCTTCCGTGCCTATAAGAGCTGATCGGCCTGAATGATACGAGCAATATAAAGATAAATCTACATGCATGTACAATATCTAGTTCTTTACGTGCTCACTGCTGCCCCGGTTTTTGACACTTGAGACATACTCGTGACTCGCTCCCTCTACAAGGCATCTGACATGAGGAAGGCGCGTATGCGCTGCAACAATTCGGCCTTAACATTGTCTGGAACCATAGCTGCAATGATCAAAGAGAAACGGTGAATGTCTGAACATAGCAATCAGCTTTAATTTCAAACATTCTTCGGCTTCCTGTCTAGTCCTCCTATTCAATTTTTGCAATTCGAAAGATTGTTAGTATGCTGAGTTGCCGAGTAGTCAAGCCACGTGATGCAACTTGTACACATCCTAGTGACCTCGACTCCGAATATTCAACGCTTCGGTTCTGATACAAACTCATAACACCAGCACAAAGCATCCGACCAGATCTTAAAACATCAAGAACAGACAATTTGGCTCCCGAACGTCAAGTTATATGTTGATGCATACCTCGCCCTTTTGGAGTAATATTGCGTACGATCTCATCCACTGTGATCTTGCTCCTACCCTTCTTTCTTGTGAATGCTCTGCACTGAGCTTTCAACTCGTCTCTCCAACCGCACTCAATCAGCCGTTCTCGCAGCAACTCTTTCAAGCGCTCCTTCTCCCCGCTTTCTATTAGCTGCATAAAAGTATCATGGTTTGAGGCAGCACAAACCAAACATTTAACGACAGCACAATGACTATTTTATAGTCTCCAGGATAAATTACCAGAGTAGCTGGATCTGTTCTGCCAGAATTGAAGGAAGAGATTATCGAAGAATACTCAGCCAAGATATTTAGCTTGCCCTTCATTTGATGTCAGTAAGGTCCTAAATTATCATAAAAAAGACTACAATGTAAGCATGTCGTGGCTCCGCCTCTTACATTGACTTGTCATTATCTTTCTAAGATACCAGCGTTGCTTGTCCAAGGTCTCACTGTCATCTCTTGGTTCCTTCGTATTAAACCGACCCTGAAGTCTTAAATCGCTGAAACTGTTGGGGACTAAAGGATTCAGGTAAGTGTATTGACTTGCGACGAATCAAGGCAAAATGCCAACTGTGTTCCGATAGAACAGTGCAAGTCACCTTGATATTGATTATTTCTTGCAGAGTGGGCTCAGCTTCCTTATCCTCATCCGCATCAGGAGTTGGTGGACGATTAACGGATGCCCTCCTTCATAACCACCATCACACACAACACCGTCATGAATGACTCCCAACACACAAGAAGGAAGTTTGTGTCGGTCAATAAAATTTCTGAACTTGGATCAGATAGCTCCGCATTGATACTATTGTTGAATTATACTATTTCCATGAGTGATCTATAGAAGTAAGAAACAAAGCGAAAAAAACTATCCCCATTTAGACGGAGGAAAAAGACTTCAAACTGAAGGAATAGAAGAAAAGACGAAAAAACAAGTACTATCAGTCAACAAAGTAGCAAAATAGGCAGTGAGAAGTGAGTGCATAATCTGGGGCTTGACAGCGAAATATCTTGCAGCGTACTCTGGACAAAGTATTGTGCAAATCACAGAAGGAGATTGACAGAATGAGTTCTAGTTCGATGAAAATAAACAGAATGATTCTCAGTCCTTTTCCACGAGCAAAGCCCCTTGTGTACAATTTCTACATTTTATATCCTCATTTTACAAGTTCGTCCGGCAAAAATTTGCCACCCAACAATAGAACCCTATTTAAAGCCAGATTCACAATTTTAACGTAACTACGCCTTCCAGAAATTGCATTTATGCTTCATCAATGCTCAAAGCATTTCTAACCCTTTCAAATTCTTCTCCTCCAAAGGCACCTTCAATGGGCATCGTTTGGACATGACAGAAGACTACTCTAATATTGTCAGAAGCATTGTGTGATCGCTAAGGACGAAAATAATTATTGACAACAAAGTAAAGTGCTGGGGCTGACAACATGAGTAGCAAGCCAAGTCAACAGTTCAAACTGCATGCTCCTAGAACAAAAAGCCGTCGGCTTCAGTTAGTCAGACCTGTCTAGAAGAGAAAACGAGAAAGAAACGCCAGTAAAGTGAAGCGCGCAGTCAAAGAGGCAAGCTCGATAATAATCATGTTTCCATTCAAATCTCTACACAAAATATGTCATTTAATAAATTATCCGTTTCTACAACTTGATCTTGCTAAAAATCCACTGTTGACGGTCTGAAGAAACAGGATGAACTATCAGTAAAACTCCCCAAACTGTCTACACGACGAATGTTGGCAACTATCCAGATCTAGATTTGAAAGGGCAGCTCCTCTGTAACAATAGGTAAGAGTGGAATGTTATAGCGTAAAACTCATGACTATCTCGACCCGATCTTAAGCTCATCTGTCATTTCCCAAAAACATCTTACTGGCCACAATCGTCTGTTGAGCCTTTTTTCAAACGAATAGATGATGTCTCTGTACTACTAGAAAAGCTCGGAGGAGAAAACTGCAAGAGATGGTAGAGATAAGGTAGACAGAATTCCTGGAAATAATGCCGGGAGTCATAACGAGAGGGACGGAGAAGAGTTCACGTGAGCGGCAAGGAAATGAGCAGCATCCACGAGATTTGTGAAGGAAAGAGAGATTTGTGGCGTAGAAGTCAAAGAGGGAGAAAATTTTCAAGCCCAGCCTCACCATAAATCAGCGAAAATGAAAACCCTACTTGTTTCACGTCAATTTCATCCAGTTATGACTTAGGCAATGTATCGCTCTTCGCTCAACAGTTCAGCCTCAATTTCCCTGAACAACAACTGTTGTACGAAAAAGCGAATATTGTCTACTCAATGCAAAAAATTGTTCATGACTACACCTTGAGGGTTCTAGTGTTCTTATAGGTCTCAGTTGCCCGAGATTTCAAGATCGATGAATAAATTAAGGAATAGAAGGTTTCTATCGCTTGCTCAGTACGAAAGAAAGTCATTGCATCTCTCGGACTGCACTGGAACCACAAAACAAAGAACTAGGGCCAGAAAATCTTACATGGCTGCGGAATATCTCAAAATCGCAAAACCGGAAATTGCATACTCCTCCCCTGTACCAATCGGGCGAAAATCACAGAGATACGACAATGAAAAATCTGTGATACTGAAAGCGCTCCTCCACTTCTTTCTGGCACGACCTTCGCCTGCAAGCTAAAATCGATGCACTGAAATTACTGTCGGATCGATTCGAGGATTTCGCATTCGAAGGAGTGTAGAGTGTCCAAAGAAGAGTGGTCGAGTCGAGAGACAGAACTACGTTAGCTCCCGTGGTGCCGGATCGTGGTCACACGGGCGAACTACGGTTTGTTTCTTCCTTCACATGACCTGCGACTCAATGTTCCAATTTCTTATGACCGTCGTCGTCTTTGGGCTCGTAGCTCGGATTACCTCCTCCAAACTGCCCTGAGGATACTCATTCAAAATAGCAGCGTCTTAAGAGCGTCAACGTCTTACTGGGGGACTACGTCTTAACCCTCGCCTCGGGCTGGGTTTTGGGTTTTTCTTGGTCGGCCTTTGCTTCTCGGATGGTGCTTCAGTCGACGCTTCTATCCCAAACCAAACCTATTTCTTTGAACATTTATTGCCCCAAAGTTAGGCGTGCGTAAGGAAAAGCAACACTTTCCAAATATTTTTGCTGACTTGTTTGCAAAATCTATCGTCAAAAACATAAAGAGGTTCGTAGTTTTCTTTCTTCTGCGCTGAAATATTGACGCCAACATTTTCTGTCGGCCAATTTCGTGGTGCATACATGTGTATACTTACATACATGCATATTCTGTTAGTGTCTTATTGCAAACACTCATTCTCATGAATAAATCACTAAGTGTTTGTAAGACGCTCACATTGAGAAACAAATGTAAAATCCAGTCTTACAAACCCATACTTAGCCTGGCCTCAAAATCAGAACCATTTAAAAACTCAAGTATGTCCAGTTCAACATAGTGATATTGGCCTTTGATCACTCTTGGCCCACACAACTCCCACTTTACTTCTTTGCTGTATGTCGCATCATCAACCACCTACAGATATGATTTCATGTCTTGTGTATGTCAATCAATGCTAATGAGCCAATTTGCAAAGCCATATATCAAAAAGCCAAAGAATATTTGTTTTGAACTTAAAATTATAACTTTGATACCCAAGGTCACTAATATGTGAAAACATACTTCTCAAATACTCACTAACCTGCTACCTACTCATAAGAATAGCATGGAAAGTATCAGATATATAATATGGCAATCAAATTACTTCTAGCAATAAGAAAACGTCAAGAAAATCAGTTAAATAAATCAACTTTGTTATATTTAATGATTTTTTTTTCTATGAAGATGTCTTGATAAGTTTGGATCAAATCTGTTGAGTTTAGGTTTGATATGTATGATGCTTATGAAACAAACGAAGTTAAAACTTGTATAGATAAAATTATGATCATGTACATCAATTAAAAAATGTATAAATTAAAAAAGTTGGAAATAAATTTGTTGATAACTTACTTAGATTTATACATATATATAGATTTATTAAGGAAGCCGCTAATCGCCACTCACTTTTTGCTATTCACCACTCACCCCCAATTTTAAAGAACCCATGCACACTTTTCTCGCGCTCCGATTGGCTGGATGGAAAACACTGCAAAGCAACAGCTTTGACGTCATCGTCTTTGTTGTTCTCGACTCACCTTGTGTGCAAAACAGTCACGATGTAGCCTTCATCGGCAATGTGTGAATTTAGAGCCGCGCGGTCAGCCTTTAGACTAGCATAGGTTGCTCTGGTAAGTTCTTGGTAACGATCCATGGTGATGTAACTGGTGTTTTGGACGCGATTTTCAACGATTTGAAAATTGGTATGAGTGGTGAATAGCGGCTCCCTTTATAAATATGTATATTTCAAAATTCAGAAATTTATTCTAGCAATTGAAACTTACTAAAAAATCAAGAATATATATATGTAATTAAAAAAAAATCCATAAAGATAATTTTTTCATTGCAAATTATCACGTGATCCAGTATATATCAAATAAATCATACTTACATTTCTATTAAATAGGAGAAGATATCAACACATACATGCATATATTGTATCATGAAACTCATAATTTAAAAAAATATCAATGTAATTTTATTTTAATATTCTAATTCTCAATTTTTTCATATAAAGAATTGAATTATACTTTCAGTTTTAATTTATCTAATTTTCACAATATTTTTTCAATTTCTAAAATTTTTTAATAAATTTTTTTTATCACAATTTCAAGGTTTGATATATTCTATGATCATACATGATTGGGTTAATAAATCTTCAATATTATTATGTAAAAAATATCATGTTTTTATTTATATAGATTTTTTTTTATTCTATACATCATTTAAATTATTATAATAATTAATACAAACAGAATAATGATCTTTGAATAAAACTCAAAATACTGTTAAGAATTTTCATATTATTTTAAGTTAACTGTTTAGGTTTCTAATACAATAAAAAAATCTAAATACTGACAATCAGATTTTTAAAAAGAAGAATTAAAGATTATCAAATTTGCTACCATGTGGAGATAGATCACATTCAAAATTTGACATTATTTATTCTTACATACAAACTCAACTTAATTCAATTGGAACATTTCATATCCATATTTGGATTTAAATCATATCATATCACACATCTTCATCATTTAAATTCAAAATAAATTGACAATAATATTTGTGTCATAGATCTAGATTAATTATAGTTGCAATTAACATTATTAACAACTTTATTTGATTATTGTTTTGATCCATGATTTCCAAGATTTATGTTTGTGATATTTTGTATAACAAACACATAGTTGAGATATAAGACAATCATTTGCCATATTGAACAACATTTTGATGTGAATACAATACATAAGTTATGTCGAGGCCTCTTCAAAACTTGCATTGGCGGCGCTGATGCCAATTTTGTCATAAATAATATTTGCAGCATGCCATAAATAAAAATGATAATTTTAGTCGCTGATTTCTTAAACTGGCGGTTCCTCTTGTGTGAAACTGTTAAAAAAACAGTAAGTCTTGAGTGTTGAAAACGAGTGACAGCGATCTGCCCGTTGCTGTTGAATGAACAACAGCAACTCTTCAGCGTAAAAAAGAACGATCATATGAAGAATTCTGTTCTTTCTTTTTTGCCACCGAAATGATACAAGTCTCGTTAGCTATTGCTGTAGAAGAGATCTAACGTTCATTTTTTGTTGATGAAGAATTGTTGTCGATGATATGTCGTCAAAGAAGCGTGAAACTCCATTTAATTCCTCTCATGACCTTCAGTACGGATTGAAGATCTTGACGCGAGATCCACTATCTGGTGTCGTCACATGAGTTTTGTGTTATTTTTGTTAGGTATGGGACCGTGAACAAAAGATCGGACAGAATCGCAAGCCGGCTAGTATCACAAAGTATTTTAAAGTTCCATATTGATCAGAATTGCATTCACAACATCTTGAAAGCCAACACTTGACGAAGTGAAGTAAATATTTTTCTCTGTCAGTAGACGCGAAGCAAAGTTTTTTTGATGTTATTGTTTTAAAGAATATTATGCATGCTCATTTTGTTGTATCAAGAGATCAGCTGTATTTTCATATAAACGTAAACATCGTCGATATAATTTTGTGTACACTTCTGTTTGATCCCGAAGCTGAGTACGTTTGTATTGATCGAGCGTTGAGATTTTTTGAGTCAATCAAATCTGACAGTGTGACTGTAGGGTATCAAGTTCATATGAAAAACATCAAGCTTTTCAAGCTTGTTATTGAGATCGTTGATCTTGGCTCGTCGTTCAGATTAATAACGCGTCAAGTGGAGTGTGCAAGTGAAAAATTAACTCTCGGTTATCTTGGTGGATGCAATGAGGCAAAAGTATCATCGTTTGTTCGGGTTGTTGCTGCCGTTTGCTTTCAGAAACTTAGCAAATTACTTGCTGATTGTTGAATCCTTTCTGTCGCATTTGATTCATCAACTATTGAGACCATCTCGTATTTTGACTTTAGAGTGAGGTTTGTTGTAGGAGCTAGGCTGCATTGTTTCATTTATGTTGTTTTCCTTTTTACGGACGACACACAAGTGACAACTTGTTCGAGACGTTTGAGAAAGCTATGGATGCAATTTGTCCATCTTGGATATAGACACTCTTATCTGCATGCTCTGATGGTGTCAGAAACATGACAGGTTGAGTACGTGGAATAGTGACTCTTGTCTTCATTCGAGTTGAACAGGAAGGTTGTTACTTGATTCAATTCTGATGTGGTGCACACCAACTTGATCTTGTTGTTCAAATTGTTATTTCATATTATCTCAAGAAAGAATTTTACTCGACGTTAATTGCCATCATCTGATACCTTCGTCAACAACATAATTTGATCTGTGAAATGTGATTTAAGTATCCAAAGGTTGCAACTACTCGCTGGTTATCGTTGGGGAAAGTATTAACTTGGTTTTCAACTCATCGTTGCCGTATTGTTGAATATATAGATCTGAAATTTTTTGATTTGAAACCAACTGTCATGTGGTGGATTGCTTTGTTTTCATTCATTCCAATAGTTACAGAGATTGATATTCTGTTTAAAACCTTGTAGCATTTTATGTTCTTGGTCACACAACAAGAAATTGCTTTTTCTAGATTCATTTTTTGTTTTCGGGATGTGATAGAAATGGAAGTTCCACTTTCCGAATTGTTATTTCAGGAACAAGATGAAGATATTATGGTGTTGTAACATTTTTTACAGGATTGCCAAGAATGTTGTTGTGCACTTTGTTTGAGGGTGTGGTTCGTTCATTGCTATGTCATTTGATAGCTTGTGTCAAGTTGAGAAGGATGTTGTGGTTTGTTCAGTTGGAGAACTAATAGTTAGTCTTGCAGCAGGAATACATGCAATCGAGTAAAAAAGTATAGTAACAATGCACTAGCAGCAACTTTATCCCCATGTTTTCCTCGCAAGTTTGTGTATGGACACAAACTTGCCTGCAACAAGATTTGTGGACGTGATAATTAGATTTTGATCTCGACTTGAGAAGAAATTCACCACCGAGTACATTGATAGCTTGGAACGAGAATACAAAGAACTGAGTATTGCTTATCAAAGAGAAGATATACTCCGTGACACTGTGGATCAAATGCCTAAATCTGTAGATTTTCATGAAGCATGGAGTGCTCTTGAACGTAGATTTTCCAAACTGTGCATGTTTGCTGAAGGATTTGCTAGTGTATATCTTGGTACAACGCGTGTGGAGAGTGATTTTTCTGTGATTAGTTGGGAGAAAGATGAGTACAGATCGTACTTAATAAATCTGTCACTCGAATGCATCATGCATTGTAAACAGTTTAAAGAAATTCAAGCAATTTGATACAATGCTTTGTCATAAATAAAATTCGGGTGATGCCATAATAGAATAGTTTATGACAGACTTGACAA